TCTCTCTTCTTAGCTCCAATGGAGTCTCTCCTGCTTCAACTAATATTGCATTAGTAGGGGTTGACTTAATTGCACCTATACACTAAAACATTTCTAAAAAGCTTTCCATTCTATTTGGCACAATGGTCTTTAAGTTATTATTATTATTGAATCAGGTGTAGGGGTGTTACGTGCCGTAGTGTGTGTGTGTCTTTCTCTCTCTCCCTCTGATTCTCCAGGTGTAGCCTGATTGTCTCCAGGTGCAGCCTCTCTCCCAGGTGCTCCCAATCCCCAATCAGGGCCTCCATATAGGACCTGAGGAAAGGCTGCTAGTCGCTCTCCCTTTTCTCCTCTGGCTGCATGGGTTGCAGCACGTCGTCTTGGGTCTCTGTGTGGGACCTGGTTGTCCATTATTGTTGGATTAAATCTCATGTGTGAACAAAGAGATCAGTTTCCTCTCTTTCTTCTCGTGCTGGTCGTTCTGTGTTTTGTTACTCCCCTTCGTACCCCTAGATTTTGGAGGGAACGTAACAAATGGGGGCTCGTCCGATCTTTGAGACAAAGAGTAAGTATCTGTTTGTGGGTTTAGCGTGGACATTGTGTTTGGTTAGCATTGGCTGTGAAGTCTCTTGCTGTTTAAAGCTTCCTCAGTTTAGACAGGGGAGTGTCTAGCTGGGCTGAATCAGTCTTCCTTCAGGCACTCATTTTTTATTTAGCCTTTTTATTTTCGGGGTAATCCTGGGTGGGGATTTATTCCCTGTTGGGGGCAGGCGTTTCCAGGGTTTCGGCCGCTGATGTTTGCCTTTAAAAGTCGCCTCGAGCCCGGCACGCTCCAGAAGATAGTTAGGGAAGTTTGGTAGGCAGGGATCTGGGGAAGTTTGATTAAAAAAAACAAACAATTGTAAGTCGCCGTTGATAAGGATGGCTTTTGTTTTGGAGCAGTTTGTGCCAGTCCTACTGTGGTCAGCTAGACTGGTGTAGGAAGGTTGATTTGCGGTTAGTTGCTGACCATTATCACGTTTCTGTCTCCTCTGCTCTTGTTAAAAGTGAACTCAAGGCTACTTTGATAACGGGACTAGTTGAACAGGGGGTTTTGAGTCTGCCTACTTCAGTGGAATCTCCTGGAACGGTGGCCGGGGCTGTAGTAGCAGAGTCCTCCTGGTGGAGGCCGCGTTGGTGTTACTCCAGGTGTTCAGAGTGCTTACGGAACAGGCAACACTTTTCACCATGCCTCAGTTTGACTCGTTTTCGGCAGGGTCCTCCACCTACGGGGTCTAAATTAGATGCCAGGGTAAAAGTGCGTATGGCTCGTCTACAGTGGGAGAAGGAGGAGCGTGATAGGGATTTTCAGCTCAGGAGGGAGCTGGAGATCAGGAAGTTGGAGGCAGACACTGATGTCAGGAGGGAGCTGGAGATCAGGAAGTCGGAGCTGGAGATCAGGAAAGTGGAGGCAGACACTGATGTCCGGAGGGAGCGGAGATCAGGAAGTCGGAGCTGGAGATCAGAAAGTGGAGGCAGACACTGCTGTCCGATGCGTCAGTTAGAGCTTCAGGCAGCTGGGGGGTGTGATTCTGCCGTTACATCTTCTGGTCCTGCTGCCTCCTTCGACGTAAGTAGGCATATTTCTTTGGTCCCTGTGTTTCGTGAATCAGAGGTGGAGATCTATTTTGGTGCATTTGAGCGCATTGCTGCTGCTCTGCGCTGGCCAGAAGACGTGTGGGCTATTCTTTTACAGTGTAAGCTAGTCGGCAAGGCTCAAGAAGCTTGCTCTTCTCTTTCTGTCGAGGATAGTTTAGTGTATGAGAATGTTAAAGGTGCTGTTCTCAGGGCATATGAGCTTGTGGCCTGAGGCCTACAGGCCAGCGTTTTCGCGGCCTGATAAACTTCTGGCCAAACTTACGTGGACTTCGCGAGGGAGAAGAAAGTCCTCTTTGACAGGTGGTGTAGAGCTTGTAAAGCTGACGACATTACTTCAGTGTGTGAGCTAATGATGTTAGAGGAGTTTAAGAACTGTGTGCCTGAGCCGTACGGTAGTCTACCTGAACGAGCAGAAGTAACTACCCTTCAGCAGGCTGCCACTCTGGCAGACGAGTTTGCACTGATACACAAGAGCGTTTTTTTTCAGCGTGATCCTCCTCAGCGAGACACTTATCGTAGAGCTCCTGACAATTACGTTCCCTGTGCCAGTGTTCCAGTGTTAGATCCCAGGCTAAACAGAGCTTGTTTTTTTTGTCATGACCCAGGTCATGTGATAGCAGACTGTGCAGGTTGGAAGCGAGAGCAGACAGCGGCTGGCAAGCACCCAGAAGGGGTGGGATTGGTTACAGCAGTGTGTCATAGTGGACGGGCCACTGTTAACAAAGGGCCTGATGAGTGTTTGAAACCGTTCATCTCTACTGCTTTTGTCTCTCTGTCAGGAAAGTGGAGGACCAGCGGCAGGTCACGGTGTTACGAGACAGTGGTGGCTCACAGTCGTTCATTCTTGCCAGTGTCTGCCCTTGAGTGCTGAGTCTGCCTGTGATGCAAGTGCGGTGGTAAGAGGTATTGGGATGGGTTGTGTGCCTGCACCTCTTCACAAGATCCAGGTACAGTCTAAACTGGCTACTGGTTTCTTTCCAGTTGCTGTGCTGCCCAAGTTTCCTGTCGACGGAGTGGATTTCATAATGGGTAACAATATAGCCGGGGGTAAAGTGTATCCTACTGCTGAGGTTGTAGACGTTTCAGTCCCTGGTGCTGCAGGTGGTGACCTAGCTCAGACTCATCCGAAGGTGTTTGCAGGTTGTGTTTTGACCAGAACTCGAGGTCCCAAGAGATTATGTTTCTTTTGTCTTGATCCTGGTCATCTAGTGGCAGGGTGTGTAGCTTGGAAGCAGCAGGTGGCAGCTTCCAAGCAGTCTACGGAAAAGTCAAAAGACCAGCACCCAGACTACAATATCGTCATCAAGCACAAGAGGGGAGCAGATAAGGTGGTGGCCGATGTACTGTACTGTGGGTGAGATTACGATTACAATGGGTCACGATTCATGTCCAATAGTCTGAGAGTTTTTGGTAACTGTGGCCAAACACTTGTTTGGTTTTATGGGGGGGGGTGTTACGTGCCGTAGTGTGTGTGGGTGTGTGTGTCTTTCTCTCTCTCTCCCTCTGATTCTCCAGGTGCAGCCTGATTGTCTCCAGGTGCAGCCTCTCTCCCAGGTGCTCCCAATCCCCAATCAGGGCCTCCATATAGGACCTGAGGAAGGCTGCAGTCGCTCTCCCTTTCTCCTCTGGCTGCATGGGTGCAGCACGTCGTCTTGGGTCTCTGTGTGGGACCTGCTTGTCCATTATTGTTGGATTAAATCTCATGTGTGAACAAAGAGATCAGTTTCCTCTTTTTTCTCGTGCTGGTCGTTCTGTGTTTTGTTACTCCCCTTCGTACCCCTAGATTTTGGAGGGAACGTAACAAGGGGGTAAAACATGACATAATTAAATCAATGTACACAAGCAATAAGTGCGCTATAAAAAATTGGCGAAATGTAGTGTTACCATGCAAAACGCATCTCTCGCCATAAAACAACTCAAAGGAAAATCGTCCAAACAGCACCGGACCTCAACATGTCTATGTGCCACTTGTGAGTTTTCCTCAAAAGCCGTTGCCATGACAATGCATCCCTCGCCGTTAAACAGGATATTGCTATACCTCCTATGAAAATGGTCATAAATTGGTCAAACTTCACATGTGTGCTAACAGTCCAGCCCATAAGACATATACGTTTAATTTTTTTGATTTTGTCAAATGCCGTTGCCATGGCAACACATTGCTCGCCATGAAACACGGTTTTCTCATAACTCCAGTGAACATGCTCCAAACGGCCCAAAACTTCACATGATTGATAACAATGCAGACCTCAAGTCATCTAAGCCTATTATAGGGTGTCATCATATGCCGTTGCCTTGGCGACAGATCGATCGCCATGAAACACGGTCTTTTCATAACTCCATTGAACATGCTCCAAACGGCCCAAAACTTCACGTTTGATGATGCAGCCCTCAAGACATCTAAGCCTATTATGGGGTGTCATCAAATGCCGTTGCCATGGTGACAGATCATTCGCCATCAAACACAATGTTTATTTTACTGCTGTCCATGTACATTGTCCGATCGGCCTGAAACGTCCCACGTTTGCTAACGGCCGAGTCCGGAAAACATCTGGCGACGTGCAGACAACAGCGAAACTGCGTGGAGCGTCGAAGACCCGCTCATCGCTCATCGCTGCTTGCAGCTTTAATTTTTCTTAAGATTTATTTAATTGGTATGCAATTGAATTTTTTTATCCAAAAACACGTTTATGATACCTACACATTTTGCTTAGCAGGATAGTCTCCACATTATAACACCACTTTATGATTTTTGAAACGTTAATGCAGTATAAAATGAACAAATAAATGAACTACAGCACGGTCACATGAATTAACGTCACCACCGCTAAGCTAAAGGCGGCTAATGCTGGCGTCGTCTAATTTAAACACTTTTTATGACACAAGCTTCAGACATTGACCAGTGTGGTATTTACTGACGTATTTCATGTCATAGAACTCTTTATTTCTAAACTAACCAAAAACTCATCCAAGAAGTACTAAAATGCTGACTCATTCCTGGATTACTCTTTTGTTGATGGCAACAAGATAAATATGCACATTCTGTTTTCAATATAGGACTTACATTTCACTAACTTGTTTAATTGAATATAACATTTTTTTTAAGTGATTGCTTTTTTTTCTCACAAGGTTTAGATAAGATGGAGAGGATGCCTTAAAGAACTTCCCTCAATACATTTAAAAAAAGTGTGCCTGTATATATTTGAATATATTTTCACTACAATCTTATTTACTGTATATATAATTCATTTTTTTTATAATAAAACCATAATTCTCAGTCCTAATTTATTCGTCTAACTTGGCCAAAAGCACTAGCAGCACAAACTACTGTGATTAATACAGTTGATGAAATAATAACAGCAAGAAAATAATTGGCATGAAACATCTTAATAAATAGATTTATTAACAGGTTAAAGTGGATCTGAATATTTAAAAGTGCAACATGTATATATTGACATTAATTTAAAAATACAAGTTAGATCATCTCAAAAATTACTATCAACATAAATGTGGAAAAGGCAACCAGTTCACGAGTAAGTAAAGCAAACAGATAGACGTCCACTAAACACAGTTGGTCTCACAGAAGCTTGTTGGCAGCGATACTTCTGACCGTGTGCAAAACCAAGCCGTGTGGAATCACAGTATTTACATCTCATAAACGCATCCAATAAGTCTTCCATCAGTAGATTTGGATATGATATATTTTTCAGCGAGAGAGACTTGTTTGTGCATATTTATAAACACGTTTTTTATAAATGTTATCCCAAAAACTCCACATGCAGTACAATACAAAATACAAAAATAACTTTCCAATGATGCATAACAATGATAACGTGCTTCTGTTGAAGGTTTGATGTAGGGCTGTTTAAATTGGGCACATCAATGTTTAAATGACCGGGTTGTTTTAAAATCATCTTTCTAAATAACAACTTAAGTCATGAAGGACAGTACCATTTTTTTTCCACATCACCGTCAACTGTTTACTCCAATAACTTGTATTAGTGAAACTCTTTGGTTCCTTTTAGTTCTATTTTGAATACATTATACTTTTTGATCTCAGCATGTTTCATTGTTTAGTGCATAAGTCTCCATCTTTTACTTAATTGAGTTATTTTAGCCTTTGTTTGTTACCTGTGAAGTTTAATTGACTGATAATAAGCCCTCTCTCAGATATCTTTGTGCATTTTTAGATGTATGGCACAACAAAGTCCACTGCCACTGTCATCATTGATTGATTAATTTATTTTCTCTTGCAATGTATTGATGAATTATTCAATCTATAAAATGACCGAAAAAATAGTGTGCAGGGGTAACGTCTTCAAATGTCTTATCTACAGTCCCAACATCACATGGCAGTGCACATGAAACAGGAAGAAAGCCTCACAGTAACCTTGGATTCATTCTGAGGCTGATCAACTTTTTGAACAAGATGGTTGCTTATGATATGTTACAAAATAACAAATATTCAAGGTATTACAATTGGAAGCAAGCAACAGCAATATAAAGTGTGACAGAGTCCTTACACAGCATAACAGTGGATGGCTCACTGACAATAAGAAGAATAAATCAATCCTACATTGAGGTGTCTTCCATGTCTGTGATTCGGTTCATTTTAAAACATATCCTTTTATTGGAAATATAACTAATACTGGTGCGAATGAACCAAATAATAGAAGCACCTTTCAACAAAATTAACTTACAACTAGTTTAGCTTCGCCATTTTAGGACAGTCTCAGGGAGTCTTGTAAATTAAAATGACATCTGTTAGAATGTTCTGTAGTGTGAGATGAACTTACATTTAGAGAAAGGACTACAACTGTAACATAAACTGAGAGCCTGAACTATTTTTACAGGTTAATTCATTTTTTTGTTTGATTGGGTTATCCAATAGAATTAATCGGTTTCCTAGAACCATTTTCGAATAATTTAGCAATAATTATTAGGGGGAATGGACAGGATATGTTGGTGGATGTAGGGGGAAATAACTTTGTCTTTGTCTGAAACCTTTTCTATATTTATAAAACCAACCTAAACAGCCCGTTCTATTAACAGGGATAGAACTGATTCATATTTATTACATTTTTGGGTCAATTTCCAGGAAATTAGAAGAAAAGGAGGCCTGAGGAATGACGCGTTATCTGCCTGCCTATATTAATTTTAGGAAACAAGTGGAATTGATCAATGCAATGAACACTGTGTAGTGTCTATAATAAAGAATGCGGTTCTCTTTTGTATGTTTGAGTCTATGTACAAGTTAATCTCATTCACACTACATTGTGCTGTTGTACTTCAGTAGCTTTAGGTCGGTATGAACTATGGCCACTATCATTTTGGTTCATACATAAAGCTTCAAATTAAAGACACCAAAATGTGGAATAACCACATGTATTAACTGTATGAATCTCTTGCTGACATAAATGTACCTTTTTCACATTTAAAAAAAAAGAAATAATTGTAAAGAAATGGCCTGAATCCCATACATATTAACTGAAAAATACCATCCTTCATTATATTTAACTGACCATACAGTAATTAATTAAGGCAAATATATGAGAACATAAAAATCATTGTGAGGTAAGATTACTGTCAAGTCCAATGTCACAAAATCAGGAAGTGTAGATTCAAACTGATTAAAAAGGGAGTTGATCAAAAGGAAACATATGAGAAACCTGTGATTAAAACGATCTGTTACAGGAACCTCTGCAGCTTCAGTCGGGTGGAGAGCGGGTTGAAGACAGCTGTTGCAAATTACTCCAACACGTCAGGGTCCGCCCCAACGGAGCCTCGTGTGTCCTCTTGGTCCCTCACTGTCAGTGTGTCTGTGAGCTGTGGGGTTAGTTCTTCTTTGTGTTTGCTGTGGAATCTCTCCAGCAGGGCTCTCAGGATGTTCCCCGGATCTGCTGGTGCTGGTCTATCAGAGGCCTGCACGCTGCTGCACCTGCAGAGCAACAGAGCTGTGAGTGACAGATGTGCAAAGTACAGGAACTCACAGGACTACGTGGCCGACAGGTGCAAAACGCGCTACAGCGGCCCCCAAAACACTTCCATTTAAGAGAAACGCGCTGAAGCTTCAGTAACTATGCAAATATAAAAACACAAATCTGCCAAAAACACATGCAAATGAAAAACATGTTAACCAACTTGACAACACATGCTCCAGTATTTAGAAAACATTCACCAACTTGAGGAAACATGAGCAGCGTCTAAAAAACGCAACAAATAAAAACCGCTGCAAGATTCAAAAACACAATAGAGTGGCGAAGTCACGCCCATCTACTTCCGGTCCATGGGACCTTATTTCAGAAAAATTATGTATTGAAGTCAATGGAGAGAGAAAACGTATCTTTCGATCCCGTTTGAATTGTGCCATGAATTACACATATGATGTTTGTCAATCTTAAAAAATCATCTCCATGTCAAAAAAGTCACAGTTTGTCGTAAAACTGTTGAAATATAAGACTATGAAAAATACGCAAACTAGAAAGACTACAAACCCCAGAGTCGCGTAAACTGACGTCACAATTGTTTTCCTCCACTAAAATAGAGAATAGCTAAGATAAGATAACTTTACAAGATGCCTGTGTGCTTAGTACCAGGTTGTTATTATACACAGCAATGGGTCTTGCTCGTTCTTTTGCTTCCCGTCTGATGAAAGGACCAGGAGTGGCTGGATCAAGCTAGCTACCTAGTAGTAGTAGCCCGTTAGTTAGCATTACAGCCGGCTTAGCCTTGTAATTTTATAAGCCCTTAACATGAAGTAACCTTAAGTAACCCAAAATGTTAAACAGTAAGAGTAGTAGTCATATTTCGTGAACCCTTTGAAGAGTACTGGCACACCGGTGTGATCATTCTATAATACACCATTTAAGCCCGGGGGAGCAATGCTAACGCTAACGCTACATTAGCTTCGGCGATCTTTTCTACTTCATGCTATCTGCACAAATGGTTGACATTAAACATTAAAAAGGACCAGGCAGTTCAGAGAGAATCAAAGGCAGGCAGGCAGGCAGCTTTGCATGACATTCTTCAGGACGTGTTTCCATTGTGTGATAGTGAGGGAAGTCAATCACTTTTTTGACAAGACAGTAGTGACGGCCATCTTGGTGAAGTGTGTTGTTGTGCAAAAGATGTAGTTCATTGAGCGTTTCACACAAAAAAAAGTGTTACTTCACAGTTTTAAGACACATTTTTTTTTTTTTGACTTGCAAAATTATCTTTTAAATTGACAAACATCATATGTGTAATTCGTGGCACAATTCAAACGGGATCAAAAGATAGTGGCGAAGTCCCTCCCCTTCCGGGGGACCTCCATGGGACCTTATTTCGGAAAAATTATGTATTGAAGTCAATGGAGAGAGAAAGATTATCTTTCGATCCCGTTTGAATTGTGCCACGAATTACACATATGATGTTTTTTATTTTGTCAATTTAAAGGATCAATTTTACTTACGCGACCTCTGGGATTTGTAGTCTTTCTAGTTGCGTATTTTTCATATAGTCTTATATCTTCAACAGTTTTAAGACAAACCTGTGACTTCTTTTTGACATGGAGGAAATTATTTTTTTAAGCATTGACAAACATTCATATGTGTAATTTCATGGCACAATTCAAACGGGATCGAAAGATAATCTTTCTCTCTACCATTTGACTTAAATACATAATTTTTCCGAAATAAGGTCCCGATGGACTGGAAGTAGATGGGCGTGACTTCGCCATAGAGTGGCCGAAGTCCCATCCCCTTCCGGTGGACCTCCATGGTGGGACCTTATTCGGAAAAATTATTGTATTTAAGTCAATGGAGAGAGAAAGAATTATCTTTCGATCCCGTTATTGAATTGTGCCACGAACTTACACCTATGATGTTTGTCAATTTAAAAGATAATTTTGCAAGTGAAAAAAAAAGAAGTGTCGTTAGAACTGGTGATAGTGTAACACATTTGTTTAGTGTGAAACGCTCAATGAACTACATCTCTGGTCAAACAACACACGTCACCCAAGATGGCCGTCACTACTGTCTGTCAACAAAACGATTGACTACCCTCACTATTCACCACAATGAAACACGTCCTGAAGAATGTCATGCAAAGCTGCCTGCCTGCCTTCCTTTGATTCTCTCTGAACTCCTGGTCTTTTTAATGTTTAATGTCAAACCATTTTGTGCAGATAGCATGAAGTAGAGAAGATCGCCGATGCTTAGCGTTAGCGTTAGCATTTCTCCCCCGGGCTTAAATGTGTATTATAGAATGATCACAAATACCCGGTGACAGTACTATTCAAAGGGTTCACGAAATAGGACTACTACTCTTACTGTTTAACATTTTGGGTTACTTAATGTTACTTTCATGTTAAGGCTAATAAAAATGACAAGGCTGTAATGCTAACTAACGTGCTAGCTACTAGCTAGCTTGATCCAGACACTCCTGGTCCTTTCATCAGACGGGAAGCGAAAGAACGAGCAAGACCCATTGCTGGTTATAATAACAACTGGTACTAAGCACACAGGCATCTTGTTAAAGTTATTCTTATCTTAGCCAGCGCCATATAGATAGATATATCTATATGGCGCTGACTCTTAGCTATCCTCTTAGTGGAGGAAAACAATTGTGACATCACTTACGCGACTCTGGGATTTGTAGTCTTTCTAGTTGCGTATTTTTTCATAGTCTTATATTTCAACAGTTTTACGACAAACTGACTTTTTTGACATGGAAATTATTTTTTAAGATTGACAAACATCATATGTGTAATTCATGGCACAATTCAAACGGGACCGAAAGATAAGTTTTCTTCAATACATTATTTTTCCGAAATAAGGTCCCATGGACCGGAAGTAGATGGGCGTGACTTCGCCACTCTATTGGAACCAGGGGACACTAAAAGCGACGCACACAGCTGGGACCGGAGTAGAGTGCTCAGGAATGATATAAAATAAGTTGGCCAACAGTTTCTGTTGTTGGAAAGTACAAAACATGTATGTTTTATCGGCTATATTAACCATGTGATCGCATGATTCCTTTCAATACCATGGCCAACTTCCAACGTCAACAACCGCTCCGGTCCCAGCTGTGTGCGTCACAGTGTCTCCCTGGTCTCTGTTGTGTTTTGAGCTTATTGAAGCGTTTTTCATTTGCATGTGTTTTGGCACATTAGTGTTTTCATATTTGCACCGGTTTTTAAGCGGAAGTGTTTTGGCCCGTTGTAATGCGTTTGCACCTGACGGCCACCCTACATTTGCCGTGTATCATTCCCTCTGTCTGGCTGTTTCTTGCAACAAAGCACTCGTTACCCAAGAAATCATCAAGGACTGAAAATGGTCCATGCTCATATGATTTTGAACTGAAGAGATAGAAAGAAAGAAAGACCACAGCTTGAGCTCACTGACTTTCTCTGCAGCGTTAACATTGGGTTCGTAAGGAATGGGATCCCCGAGGAAGGTCCTAAACTTCACAGGAAATCCTCCGTACAAAGGAGCTGCAGGGTAACTTTAACAAGATGCCTGTGTGCTTAGTACCAGGTTGTTATCATACCAGCAAGAGTGGTGAAGTCCCTCCCCTTCCGGGGACCTCCATGGGACCTTATTTCGGAAAATTATGTATTGAAGTCAATGGAGAGAGAAAGATTATCTTTCGATCCCGTTTGAATTGTGCCACGAATTACACATATGATGTTTGTCAATTTAAAAGATAATTTTGCAAGTAAAAAAAAAAAAAATGTGTCGTAAAACTGTGAAGTAAACATTTGTTTGTGTGAAACGCTCAATGAACTACATTTCTGGTCAACACACACACGTCACCAAGATGGCCGTCACTACTGTCTTGTCAACAAAACGATTGACCTACCCTCACTATCACCACAACGAAACATGTCCTGAAGAATGTCATGGAAAAGATGCCTGCCTGCCTTCCTTTGATTCTCTCCTGAACTGCCTGGTCGTTTTAATGTTTAATGTCAACCATTTGTGCCAGATAGCATGAAGTAGAGAAGATCGCCGATGCTAGCGTTAGCGTTAGCATTTCTCCCCCGGGCTTAAATTGTGTATTATAGAATGATCACAACCGGTGACAGTACTATTCAAAGGGTTCACGAAATATGACTACTACTCTTACTGTTAACATTTGGGTTACTTGATTGATTGAACTGAAGAGATAGAAAGAAAGAAAGACCACAGCTTGAGCTCACTGACTTTCTCTGCACAGCTCTGCAGCGTTAACATTGGGTTCGTAAGGAATGGGATCCCGAGGAAGGTCCTAAACTTCACAGGAAATCCTCCGTACACAGGAGCTGCAGGGAGGCGGAACCCTCTCGTACAGCCAGCGGAAAAATCCTGAATGAAAAAAGAGAGAGGAAAGATGTTTCACAACACTCTCCATACATCCAAAAAACATCTAAAAGCAACATGTGTGTAAGGAATGTCATGTGCTGTGTCTGTGTGTCCATCAGTGAGACCATCATCTTGGGGGTGCTATCTGAACTTGACTTTCTTCTACACTTACTGAGTGTTCCCAGAGATCTGAAGCCTCCCGCACATTCTGAGTAAACATTGGAATTATAGGCTGAAAGAAATACAGACAGAGAGAGAGAGGATTAGAGAGGAGGGCTTCCTACACTGCAGAAACTCTGAATGGATAAAAAGATGCTACAATAAGACGGAGCATCGACATTTGTTGAATTTGATAAATCTTTCATTGTTGAAACTGTAGCCATTCCGGGTCGTTTTCTGACTAAATGAGTTGCACATCCACACATTTTAATCTGGCTTTAAGTGTGACAATTTGGAGACGATACTATAGTCTCATTTAAGATGGGTGACGCTTCTTAAATGTGTGTGTGTGACCTACAGTGTTTTGTACGAGCCAGAACTTTATAATCTAATACCTAGTATTTAGTCCGCAACAATCAATTTTGATTGGTATTGTTAAAAATGAAAGATTATCCAAAACATTTATAGAATTGAAAAGTGAATTTTCCTTTGTTGGCAATTTTCAGTTAAGTTGATAAGCAAATCAAATGTTGTGTACTATATTAAATGACAAACAATAAATAAATGGTGCAGGAATGAGCCTAAACCTGGAAAGGAGTTAGCATTTGACTACTCCCGTAGTTGTCCCGTTGTCTCGAAGACAGCGCTTCTTGAACATGTTTTTAGTTTCCTGAATATTCATGAAACTAGGTCTGTGGTTAAACAAGAAAAAAAACGTTTGTCCTACAACATAAAATAAATACGTCAGTAAATGCCCCGCAGGTGATGTCTGAAGCTTCGATGTGTAATAAAAACAGTGGTTGCTGTGTCTAAATGAGACGACTAAATGTCATCACGCCGAACATTAGCCGCCTTTAGCTAAGCGGGGGTGAAGTGCGGCCATGTGACTGTGATGTAGATTGTTTATAGCCTAATGTTAGCTTTTTACTTCTGACTCCTGCATTAACCCTTAAAAAACGTAACAGTGGTTTAACTATGTGGATATTATCCTGGTGAGCAAAACGTGTAAGCACCATATACTTCTGTTGCCATAAATCATACTTTCTGGAATCCTCGATGCTAACTTCCAGGTCGGCCTACGACAATATGTTTTTACTGCACCACTCTATAGAGACACACTGTATGTAATGTCACATCACTTGACATTTAGAATATGAATGTATTTGGAAATGTTATGCCCTCCCTACTGAAACTAAGAGCAACGCACCACTTGGGAGTCGATGGCGACCTGTGCAAAGCCTCTGCGTTTGCCCCAGAGGAGGGGGTAGGTCTCGTCACTGAACAGAGCCTCCCGCACCCCCCCTGGAGAAATCCCCAGCAGGTGGCCGTTCCTCAGAGCCCGCACACACTCCTCCTGAGGGCCGTGGATCACACTGACACCTCCAGCAGTACTTGAACCTGGAGGAACAGGACAGGATGGATTCATTAGAATAGGAACTAGGCCGAAGAGAAGGAAAACCTTTGAGATAAACTGGTAATTAAAAAGTTACATAAAAACAATCCCAACTGCACCTAAAGTATTCCATTTTTGTGTACAATATTTTATTTTATATTATTTTGTATTAACTTATTCCCTGCATTCATATTGCACCAATATGGTTCTATACTATTTAAAGCTTGCACTATTTAAATTTTTCTTGCACGTTTTATTTCTTAAGAGATGTAATGATATCATAGTAGCAGTACTTGAAGATTATACTGTATGCATTCATGTGTGTGTGTGTGTGTGTGTGTGTGTGTTGTGTGTGTGTGTGTACGTGTGTGTGTGTGTGTGTGTGTGTGTGTGTGTTGTGTGTGTGTGTGTGTGTAACATGTGGTGTGTGTGTGTGTAACAGTGTGAGTACCTGGGATCTTGAAGAGCAGGTGTCAGCGACAGAGTGGCAGGGGCCGTCCCTTCTGCAGGATAACTTTTGCCAGGAAGTAGTAGTAGTCGATGGGAATGGCTCCATGATAGTACACTATCAGCGCTGGGCCTTTGTCCGGAATCTTATCCATCTCCATGGATCTCATAACCTGGAGCACAGGACAGAGTACATGAGGAACACAATTTTATTCCATGGAAACGGAAGTGCTGAGGCTCTGGCAGTTCAATACTTGGTTTCAAAAAATCTAAATATACAAAACGTAGGCAAATCAAAAAACATATTCACCAATTTGAAATCACATGTATAGGATTTAGAGTACAGGGCTGTATATGGTCAGTGTATGTTTTGGTCTTTGGATTTTCTTTTCAGAAAAGGATATTCAAAAACAAAAAACGAGTGGATATTTCATTTTCGTTTTAAAATAAAAAAATAAATAATTGAAATACAAGGCGTTTTTCTTCATCATGGTCAAAAAGGGATTTACTTAACTTAAAAAACAGGATGATTTTAATTTTCTACTTCTCAAAACAAAAAATAAAACCACTAGTAAACAGAAACGAAAAACCCCCTATTCTGCTACCGGAAGTTGTCTGACAAGTTGTCTGACAAGTTGTCTGACAAGTTGTCTGACAAAATAAGAGCGCAGATGAGGACGGTCCTGTGTCGGCTGTAATTCGGGGGTTCCGTTGTCAAATCAGCCCGCGCCTAAAAACATGATATTTAACCCTCCGGTATCACTCGGACATTTCTGGTCTATAATTATCGTGTGTAATAGAAGGTTCTCCCATCTACACAGAGGAAACACTGGAGCTCTGTCAGAGTGACCATCAGGTTCTTGGTCACCTGTCTGTACACTGGAGCTCTGTCAGAGTGACCATCAGGTTCTTGGTCACCTGTCTGTACACTGGAGCTCTTGTCAGAAGTGACCATCAGGTTCTTGGTCACCTCTCTGTACACTGGAGCTCTGTCAGAGTGACCATCAGGTTCTTGGTCACCTCTCTGTACACTGGAGCTCTGTCAGAGTGACCATCAGGTTCTTGGTCACCTCTCTGACTAAGGCCCTTCTCCCCCGATGTTCAGTTTGGTTTGGGCGGCCAGCTCTAGGAAGAGCCCTGGTGGTTCAAACATCTTCCATTTGCAAATGATGGAGACCACTGTGCTCGTTGGGACCTTCAATGCTGCAGACATTTTTCTGTACCCTTCCCCAGATCTGTGGCTTGATACATCCTGTCTCTGAGGTCTACAGACAATTCCTTGGACCTCATGACTTGGTTTTGTGCTCTGATATGCACTGTCAACGGTGGGACCTCATATAGACAAGTGTGTTCTTTTCTAAGTCATGTCCAATCTATTTAGTGGAAACGGGATGCACTTGAGCTCAATTTTCAGTGTCAAAGCAAGGGGTGTGTACACTTATGTACATGTGATATTTTATTTTATTATTTTTAACACGTTTGCAAAAATATTTAAAAACGTTTTCACTTTGTCATTAAGGGGTATTGTGCGTGGGATATTGAGAACAAAAATGAATTTAATCCATTTAGAAATAAGGCTGTAACAAAACAAAATGTGAAACAAGTTAAGGCGTATGAATACTTTCCGGATGCACTATAAATGGTCTACAATGGCTGAAATCCCTGTTTCTCTCCAGAGTTTCTCTCCCACACACTCCCCCCCCTGCCTGAAACGCCTCCATTGGATACCTGAGTTTACTTTCCGTAATGTAATGATATCACTTTGTAAAACTTGCATCACTATTGGTTTAGCACTCAAACCCATTGTATATGATAGGCTTAGGGGCGGGACATCCTGCAAAATGTTTGTCTCAAAACTCTGTATGTGTAAAAGCCGAACCACAAAACAGAGAATTCAGATCCACAAAGAATTCAGATCCGCAAATACAAACTGGATTAACACATGCTGATGGAAAGTTGTAGAGATATCCACAAATGTTTTTTGTTTATTTGTAAAGTTAACTCTTTTCCCTCTTTTCACAGGTAGGAAAACAATATCATTAATATCAAATCAAAGTAAGGTGAAACACCAATATACCTTACATCACAATATTGACAATTATGAAAACAAAATACAGTCTTGTTTGACACTTAAACACTTAAACTTTGTTCAAGTTCAGTCCCAGTTAGGTATCTAATTCAGTTCAGTTGAGAATATCCAGATACTCCTCCTGCTCTGGCAGCGAGTTACCAACAAACCGTACGCAGCGGATTCCCTAACCCACGAGGAAGAAGTCTGTCCTTAGAAACGTAGTCCGTGGGGTTGGCTCGCCATCTGGTGTCCGATGTGCACGTCGTCTTCCCGGGTGCACGTCGTCTTCCCGCGTGCACGTCGTCTTCCCGCGTGCACGTCGTCTTCCCGCGTGCACGTCGTCTTC